AATTTTTTAACAAATAATTTCACATAATTTCAACTTTACTTTCTTCATGTGATAAACATCTAAGTTAAACATGTCTAATTCCATTATTAAAACATTATAAAACATAAGTTTGTCCTTTTCTTTAGAGTTAAAATCATATTCATTTCTGTGACTAAATGTGCCTTTAAATTTAGTGTGATCTGAAATTAATTCAAGGAATTTCAAGTAATTAAAAAGCTATAATTGGACAATCAACAGTATAAAGCTGGGCTGCACAGAGGTTTAGGCAAGCCTGACTATATACCATTGATGTAGTCATTATCGCCCCTATCATTCAAAGATTCAATCAAAACTGGCCCCCTGTTTAGAATCACAAAATTGCTTACAGTACTCTATACATACAGAAAATGAAATGTTCATGACTGGAAATAAAATTATCATGGAATAAGGTTTATTAATTCAACACATAGAAATAAATGTTTTTTAAATAACCGAAGATTTAGATATATTATCTAAATAATGTAGATTACATACGAAATAACATATTTTAGTGGGAAACGTTACTATGTTTTGATTTTAAAGGAAATGTATAACTTTGAATCAAATAATTATTTACAATGTATTATTTTTGGATAAATTTAAGAGGAAAATCATTGTGAATATATGTTAAAGCAAAACATTCAAAAAGCAAATTCAATGAAATTGTGTAGCTTTTAAAAAATACCCATCGCGTACAAATACACATTTTTTACAACCTTATGAACGAATTTCTTATTAAATTCTAAACCATATGTAAGATCTGAATAATATCAGAATAAGGAAGAAATGCCCTTGGAGTATTTTATGTAGCTTTTGGTTGTGAATTAACATTTAAAACAATGAGCAAAAGTGTTTGAATATTTTCACAACAAATTTGAAATTAATAAATTTGTGCTAAATTTTGGCAAACAGTCCTAGGTGTATAATGTAGAGGTACTTTCAATAATCAACACTCATTCAAATACTTTAGTAATTACCTTGAAAATAATTCTCATCAAGGAAAAAAAAGTGAGCTAAAATCATAAAAGTACATGTAATTAGAACAAAGAATAACCCGTATCTTTAAAAACAATTAACAAAAAATATTTTATTTTAAATACATACATGAAATGATTCCGTTTTAACTTTACCCTGCTGAAAATGGACTCATCCTAGTTGAAATTTAGTGGTCTGAACATCAAAATGGACTCGTCCTAGTTCAAATTTAGTGGTCTGTTCACCAAAAAATTGGACGGCCAACAGTCTGACTACGGTATATGGATGAGTGTAAAGGACTTTTCCAAGTTAATTTGGACTGATCCATTGTTATTTTAAAGGGTTTTGGCATCAAAAAGCTTAAATTAAGTAGAAAGTTAACAGTGTAGTCAAATTTTAAGGATGGACAGGCTGACCTGACTTTATACTGGCGGTACTGGGTCTGTTGCCACTAGCACTCAAAATTACATATTTCTCAATACAAAAATCAGTATTTAACAATAAACAGACAAAAAAATAATATAATAACAAACTGATATAAAGTGAGCCGAAAACTTAAGGTCACACAGCAAAATATAACAAACAGTGTAACATTTATAATTCACTTTGCCCCCCCATGCATTTTGTGTGCTTTTATCAAATTCATTAAAACCATGCATGAAAAAATAAAAAAATACATGTAGACAACTAATTATTCTGTAAATATTTAAAGCAAAGAAAAAAAAGTAAAAAATTCATGTCACAAAGAAATAACTGGAATGTAGTGCAAGAACGGTAAATCTAAATTGTATCACATTCTCTCTATACCTCATCACAATCTACATTCAATGACCCCTACAACCCCTAATTGATATAATAGTAATAAAACGTAATTATAATAAAAAGATAAGCATGCTTCCTATATCAGAACATAGGTGTCTTTCGACCTTTTTTTCCAGCTAATAAACAATGTTTTTATTACAAATTACTAATAACTAGTAAATTTTCACACAGTAATAGGAACTACTTTCTACTGAGTAAGAATACATTATCTTGTCAATGTTGAAGAGCTTTTCTAATGCAATATAGATAAAGAAGTATACCTTTACAGAAGTCATAAGGTTACCTATCTACATGGAATATCCCTTCACTTTTTTTTACTTCATACATAAAAGCTGAATGTCTAAACAAATATAACAATTACATAATAATTATTATACATTCTCAAGACACCCAACATTTAATAAAACCCTGACAAATACCCAAAGTCAATCAAATTTATCATTTAATTACTTTTTTTAGCAAACTGAATACAAAATGTAAATAATTACGAGCTATAATATCATATAACAATAAAAGTTGTAACTGTTTTAAAAACGACAACAATGTAATAAACTGACAAACTGGTGGATAAATTTATATGTGCATCTAATATATCTAATGATTTTGGCTGAAACAATTATCACACACATATCAGATGCAAAAGGAAAAAGAAAAAACTCCTTCAAAGTGACATTGTGCCCTTTCAATTGTAAATGGAGTGTACAGGTAAAAATCAAAATAACTTTAAAAATACATTTTGCAATAGTTGTATAATTTTATATTCTGCTTCACAAAAAATAATAAATATGTGTTACTCATAAAATTTCTTTAAATATCTTTTGTAATTCACTTTTCTTAAGGGTTATTCAATAACAGTGGGACAGACTTTTTATATTTTTGGCAGTTTTATATACCATCTAAAATGTTTGTAATTATCAATGATTGCAATGATTGGTCCATCACCATTTAAACCATCAATATCTAGCTAATTCAGCTCAACTTGACAATATCACTTTACTTAAAAAAAACAAGATTGCATTTGAGAAAAATGCTATGCCATCGCATGGTTCAAATTTCATAGCTGTACATCAAAGGACAAGAAAGTAGGTAACATCATCAAAATCTAGGTCACCTGATATCAAAGTTCAATTTTATTACTAAACCTGTGCACATAGTCAAAATGTCATTGCTGTACATCAAAGGACAAGAAAGTAGGTCACTATCCCCTTGGGCAAGGCATAATTTTTACCCAAGGGTTTAATTCAAAACAATTTTGATACAGGTCCACCAAACAACATTTCAAGTCAAATATCTAAGCTATAGCTTTCTCCCATTCAGAAAACATTTGTTTTACTATGTGAACATAATGAGAATCACTGCCCCTGGGCAGGGCCAATTTTGACACCAGGGTAAAAATTTGAACAACTTTGGTAGAGGACCTATAAATGATATTATATATCAAACATCAAAGCTCTATGCCTTGTACCTTCAGACAAAAATATTTTTTATTTTTTCACTATATGTACATAATGAAAATCAATGACCCCCGGGGCGGAACCAATTTTGACCCCAGGGCTATAATTTGAACAATCTTGCAAGAGGTTCACTACACAATGTTTCAACTCTAGCCTTTGTAAATTTAGAGAAGATGATTTTTTAAGTTTTTACTATATACATATAAGGAAAACCTATGGCCCCCCGGGGGCGGGGCTAATTTTGACACAAAAGGCAAAATTTGAATAACTTTTGAAGAGTACCTTTAGATGATATTATTTAACAAATATTAAAGCTCTAAGCCTTGTACCTTCAGACAATCAGATTTTTTTATTTTTTACTATATGTATATTTTGAAATCAATGACCCCCAGGGCGGGGGCAATTTTGACCCCAGGGCTATAATTTGAACAATCTTCCTAGAGGTTTACTACACAATTTTTCATGCAAAATATCTAACCTCTAGCATTTGTCAATTGCTAGAAGAATTTTTTTTTTAAGTTTTTACTTTAAGTTTTTACTATATACATATAAGGAAAACCAATGACCCCCGGGGCGGGGCCGATTTTGACCCCAGGGCTATAATTTGAACAATCTGGGTAGAAGTCTACCAGACAATGCCTTATGCAAAATATTTAAGCTCTAGGCCTTTTGGGTCTTTACAAGAAGGTGTTTTAAGTTTTTACTATATGTACATATATTGAAAATCAATAACCTCGGGGCGGGCCGATTTTGACCCAAGGGCTATAATTTGAACAATCTTGGTAAGGGTCTACCAGATGATGCCTTATGCAAAATATCTAAGCTCTAGGCCTTTTGGGTTTTTACAAGAAGGTATTTTAAGTTTTTACTATATGTACATAGTGAAAATCCATGACCCCCGGGGGGGGGGGCCAATTTGGACCCCAGGGCTATAATTTGAACAATCTTGTTAGAGGTCTACCAGACAATGCCTTATGCAAAATATCTAAGCTCTAGGCCTTTTGGGTCTTTACAAGAACATTTTTTAAATTTATTCTTATAATTCCTTTTGGTTGCCATGGCAACCAGATTTCTGCATGGAATGAAATTCTTTGAACAACTTTGGAAGCCCTTCACCCAAGGAACAATCCTGCCAAGTTTGGTTGAAATTGGACTAGTGGTTTTTCACAAGAAGATTTTTTAAGTTCACTATATAATCTATATAACACACGCACAAACACACACACAAACACACACACACACAGGTGAATCGCTATATGCCACCGCATCGCAGATGCTGCGGTGGCATAAAAATGAAATGATTTTGATTGTTATAAAAATTAACAGAGCATTAAAAAGGAAGCTGTTTATCATTATAACCTTTGAGAAGATTTTGGTCAATAAAACCTGAAGTAAATGCATTAATATATAACTAAAGTTGACAAATTGAGATTCCTATTGCTGCACAAAGAAACAAAATTCATAATGTACTTTTAGCAAGGCAAAAAAATAAAAACATGTTTATAGCATCCTCTTAAAAATTCAAAAAGTTAAGGATAACTTTTTAATTTTATTCTATGCAAAATACTTTTTCATTTTTTGTTAAAGAGTGTCTTTGACATGTGGAACAAAATAAAGTCAGGTGATATTAATATCATTGAATATTCCCATTTAAAATAATTGCATCTTTTATGATGACTGAATAATCATACAGTTTCTTTCTTTACAAATTTTGGTTAAGGTGTTAATTTATAAACTATAATCATTCATCTGAACAATTTTCAGCCATGATTGTCATGGTTATAGTGACCTTGACCTTTAACTAATTGACCACAACTTCCAAAGCCATAAATTCATAGGTCATAAACTAAGTCCATGCACTCTGTGCATAACTAGTATAAGTCATTCATGTATTTAAGAATTATTCAACAGAAAATGAGTTCAAATCTGATGCTGTGACCTTGACCTAGTGACCTCTATATAAATAGGTGTCTCTTCTTTTTACAAAGCCATAAAGATCAAATAATTATGAGCAATCACTATATGTAAATTTTACCCTTTTACCAGTTTGAAAAAACTTTTTAGTGTATCACATGAAAAAGAAATGTTGGTGCAAGCTGCAATGCCTGTACAATCTCCAGTAAAAATTTCCTTTAAAAATGTGCTTTAAAGTGAATTGGCCTACAATGAGCATATTTTCAATATTTAATTCAAAAATAGATAAAAGCAATAAAAATGTATCATTTGGATAAACAGATATAATTATTTACTTGTAAAAAATGTTGATAAAGTTCTAAGTGATTTAGCATAAACATTTATATGATGAATAATAATATTTTGTTCATGAATATTTGATTATTTGCTATGTAAATTTACGTAAATATCCAATCACATATTACACACTTGCCAACAAGATCCACATATTATTCTTTCGTAGTTTGTTGCATATCTGATGCTAAATACAATCAATTATTTATTGTACTGAGCTTCCATTATAGACCAATTCACTTTAAATTTATGACAAATTTCATTTAACTGCAAATACTTTGCAGTTATGACAAATGTAATATTATGCAGTAAAAACACAAATTTGATGCAAAATTTACAAAACACAGTCTCTTATCTTAACACTACATTACCAAATGCTAGATTTTAAAACAAAGATAGTTACTATATGCAATTAAAGTCACATGACTTTAAGCTATGATTTTTTTTTATTCAGAATATATGTAATTAATCCTACTTTGCTTTCATAATTTCTTTTTATGAACAAAAAAAAAAATCAAGAAATATAACATATATAAGTATGCAAGCTATAAAAAAACTATCAAACATTGAAAGTTAGAATTATGCCTGGAAACCAGCCTGTTCAGATAACTTCATTCACCACTTACTGGAAAGGGAACCAGTCTGTTAAAGATGAAAAGCTGATGTATTGCACACAATTCATGGAATGTCATTTATACAGTCTGTGAGAATGAAGAAAAAGGGAATTGTATTGTCAGTTAAACACCGGAAGATCATACAAGCTGTAGCCCTCGAATCCTTTCACAGCCAGGTATATATACACCAAATGGTAAGCTGAAATATCAACAAAGAAAAATACATAAATATATATATACATAGTGTAATAGGGAACACAGCTTCCCTTACATAGTTCAGTCAATCTTTCATTCAAATTAGACATATTTAGCAAGAACTTTACAAGTTTCAAAGAATTTTTGTAATTAAATATCTTTCTTAAGGATTAGCATTGCATATCTTTAAATAATTCAACAACTTGATTACATTCAAGTTTGGGTGCTACACTGGACTATCTTACTTAGTCTTTCTTACCTCCAGGAATCAGACATAATAATCCACCAATAAAGAAAACAAGACAGTGCATGCCTGAAAAGTAAAGATAACATTTCTTCAACAAAGATTACAATTTCTAACTTTCCTCATTTGGGAACATGTAAATTTTCAACATCTTAGTACCAAAAATAATTGGGATAAGTAGCAGGCAACAACCTAATGTTTTGAAAATGATAAGTTAACCTTTAAGATATTTGGAGGAATAAAATAATCTATCTATCTAACATGCTCCTCTTCAAGTTTGGGAAGCATCCATAAAATGAAGATATGACCAGAACTGATTTTCCATCAAAAATGAGTTTAAAGTTGTATAACTTAAATACTTTGAAATTATCAATGGCTCGCAGACCTACCATAGTTATTGGTGGAGATAAGCAGCAGATGCCCTGCATTATTCTAATAAGGAAGGACCATGGTTGAATAACTCTTCCATAACTAATTACATGTATATTTCCACCCCTAAAGAAGAGGGGTTATAAGAACCAACAGGTTTCAAAATTAAAAATGATAAAGCGGTTCAAAATCAGCAATTATTACCACTAAGCCATATATGCCCCTCAGAAATTCAAACCTTACCTGTTCAGAACATGAGAGCCATTTATCATCACCTTATTTTTTTTTTTGTTGGGTTTTACATTGCACCAACACAGAATAGGTTATATGGTGATTTTCCAGCTTTACATGCATTATTTCAGGCACAAAAAGGCACCTGAATAGAACCAACAATGTTCTCCAAGCTAGCTCGGCCACACAGACGCCCCATCACCTAAATAAATGTGATATTACTTCTTGACCAGTACTGCAAAGGATATTGCCTTTTGAAATCACCAACATTTTCTAAATTAATTATAAAGTTCAGCAGGCCAACTGTATTATTTGAAAACTTACCTCGACCTGGTGAAACAACAATTCCTACTCCAACTAAAAACAAGACTGATCCAATCAATGTAAGCAAGAATGCCCCAATCACAACTTTCCAATTCTCTCTAATCTTAGGATGCTGTAGCCAACTGAAATACAATATTAAGCTGTCTGACCAAGATTCACTTGAATTGTACGCAATTTGAGACCACTACAGTAAAGACATTCCTAAAAGACATTCACTTTCTTAAATTTGAGCTAATAATCTACTTTTCATTTTTTCAACATAATAATCTTTTTTGAAAGCCAAAATGCTTTTTCATATGCAAGAAAGATAACTGTGCAAAACTCAATCAGTTATGAAAACAGCTTGAATAAATACATGTACATGGTGCATACAGTTATCATTAAAATGAAAGAAAAAAAATTGTTTAAGGGCCAACAGATCCGCTGAGGTCTACACATCTAATTTTAATATATAAGTTTATTACCTATTTCAGAACCCATATGTATCTGAATTTTAGATAGTGATGCCTTAGAGCTTTGTAGTCAACTAAACAACAGAAAATTCTATTTCTTTCAAGTAAATTCATTTGCACATTATTGAAACACAGAACTAACATCTATGTTTGGTATGTTGGTGACTTTCCAACTATTGCACTTTCTATATCCTTCAAAATACAGTCATCTTACATTTCTATGTTACCATTACAGTATGCTGATAATTACTATTTTATCTATTTTTATCAATATTAAAGACAGGTTTTTATCATGTCAGGTTGATTTCATAAACTATCAGGAAAAAAATGAAAAAATTTGAACACAGAAAGTGACTGAATTAAATATCTAAAAGTATCTGACAAAATTTTATTGACTAGAATAAAAAGAATGATGAATATACCTGGATGAATCAGCAAATGATCGTGTGGAAACATGCGTATCTGCGGAACGTGAACTGCTTTTTCGACTCACACTTGGTGATGGAAGCAACAAACTGACGTGGAAAAACAACACACAGTGAGAATATAATATGTTTTAACATACAGGTGCAGAATGAAAAAAAAACATGCCAAGAGATATATAAAATTTATATTTAATGAACACTTAATTTCACTTCTATATTGTATACATGTATATAACGACTTAACTTAATTTCACCATCTCATATAATGGAGATATGATATATAACAGATTCAAAAACCAACATAGTTTACCAATTGATACATGCTGTGCTTTTTTAAATCCATTACCATCTATACATATTTTTTAACCCATTTTCACCCCCCCCCCACACACACTTTGAGGCCCTAAAATACATATAGTGAGAAAAAATGCCCTATTTAAACCCAAAACACTTGGTTTTGTTAAAAAAAAGTTAGAAAATGTGATCACATTTTCAGCACCATCCTCTTCAAGAAAAATTTTGGACTTGTGAGAAGTTTATAGTTTCAAAGCAATTTGAACTTGTAACAGGAGGCTTTTCAATGAAAACAGCCATTTTTCACAAAAGTCTCATGCAGTAATGGATTACAGCAAGCTTCAGCTGATATGATAAACCACAAAGGAAAAATAGAGATAAGACAAAATTATATGCATGTACATGTATAAGTATTTCATATCAAGTTATTAACCGTAACCCTTACCAAATGGACTAGTGCATCTTTCAATATGGACACAACCATTTCATGTTTTAAAATAAGTACTGACTAAATAGTGAATAGCATAGACGATGTTCAGACAGCACAGATGTTATCATTTTCCATTTTCTCTTTTAGAAGCAATTTCAGGCATTTTATTATGCATATTCTATTTCGCCCAAAAGCAATTGTAAAGGTCTCTTGCTTTTGGCAGGTATAGGCATAGAAAAACTATATAAAAAAATTCACGGGCTACTTTTTGAAAAAAGGGTTGAGGGGTTTTATACATTTTCGGGAAATGGTTCCAAAATTTCAGCACCAAAATTCATGGAATGAAATGCTTAATTTCACTATTTTCATTTCAAATAGTAGTCACTCTTGCTTTTTTATATGTACATGTAAAGATCAAAATTAATGTATAAATAAAATATATAATCTTTAATTAATGAACATGTTTCTTTTATTTAAGAACAAACCAATGAAAGTTAATATACAAAAACAAACCATGATCATACATGTATCTAGAGGTTCATGTGAGAACAGCAAGCAGAAAAAAGCATAACAAGGGAAAATCAATAAGATAAAAAAGATAAATAACCTTGTTGCCTTTGTCCCATCCTTTCTATTATCTCCATATTCAGCATCCTAAACAGAAACATAACAATTATACATATACATGTGACATCATGTGTATGATGAAAGTTTCAGATAATTCATTATAACCACAGTCTTTCATTTGGAGCAGTCATATAAACAACACAAAAGGTATCTAAACTAAAATGAATACCTATATTTTAAAGAAATGAAGAAGTAACAAGAGATTAAAATTTCTTAGTGCTTGATAGTAAAAAAAAACCTGGGTAATGTAGCAATTAATAAAGATTTCATTCAAAATACATAAGTAAAGAATCTTGATAAGTGACCTGGGTCAGTTAAAATCTATTCTAGAGTTATTGGCCTTGAACAATGACTTCCTTGTATGATCTCAAGACATGAGGAAAGTTACAAGCAAACATCTTTAGGGGTCAGTCTATTTACCCCACGACACCCAAAGACTACTCTGGGACAGAAAGATTCCCCTTTTTTAGTCCCAGGACTACCCCAAGACACCCCAAGAAACCTATATATGGTGTACATGTATATTGGGAAAGTGTTATTACATACGTCAACTGATTATTTACGTGTCATCTTGTTAATTACTGTCTAATATATCAAATATTATGAATTATGTATGGACTTCTTTCATCACTAAAATATTTATTGATATGCTTTTTAATATAAAAAAAATATTTTGATTAAAATTAACTTTACGGAAACAACAAGAGTATTTTAATTTGTTAATCTAATGAAATATGGGGCAGATGAAAAAAATCAATATTATGAAACAAAACATGATCGATTTAATAATCAGGTATCAAAAATGTGTCATTCATAAAATGACATTGTCGCAAAATTTAACTTGCTGAGTTGCACTACTGCAGTATACACAAATCAAGCAACGTTGGCATCATTTCATTGTTGTAAACTATTTTGCATAAAAATAGAAAATATCTATAATCTTACATTAAAAAATACATGGAAATAAATGAAGAGAGATCACATAGTTTCCTCCCTTAAAAAAAGTAAAATTAAGACGTATTTTCATGTCAGTAAAAGTGTCTTGTGGTGGTCTTGGAGTGTCTTGACAATGTGATGAATGTCTTGGGGTGTCTTGATATAGTCTTGGAGTGTCTTGGCGTAGTCTTGGGGTAGTCTAGAGTTGTCTTTGGGTAGTCTTGGGGTAAACAGACCGACCATATCTTTAGTGGAAGATGAATGATGTGACATAATATAGTTGTACAGTTTGATATAAAAAAGGGAAAAGAGTCAACTCAGCCCTATACCAACTCGGCACGGGTCAACTCGGCCCACTTTACAAAAATATATAACATATTAACTTTGCTTTGCATGTTGTTAAGGTAAATGAATAATAAGAAATATCTTATTATTATATAATTATACATTGTACTTCTGCCGAAATAAAGTATAGTTAAAAAAAAATTGTTATTTATTTGTCTTATATTTATAAAACTCTCTCTGTCGAACTACGTAAATAACCGAGGTATATTGAGTGAAAAAGCAAGAGTTGTTTTCCTTAATTTCCCGAATGCAAATTTAGCTGTGTTTAAATAGCTAGTTTGGGGCGATTAAATGTCCGATTTTAAAATTTGTTACACAAATTTAAAGCTGGTGATCTAAGCTTCCTCTCAGTATATATTTCAACAAATTGTTTGACACTGAAGGTATTTAGATTTACGGTTAAACCTAACACGAGTCAGAAATACAATGAGATACGCAATCGGTTCTCTTTACTCGCAATTCTACTGATAAGAAAAGCCTGTCTGCTGCTAGTTCTGAAACTGTCAATCCGTGTTTAATAAATAATTACAATAATAACAATAAGTAGTGATAACACAAACCTAAATATTAATAATTAAAAAGTGGGCCGGTTTGACCCGTGCCGAGTTGGAATAGGGCCGAGCTGACTCGGGGGCCGAGTACGTTTTAGGGCCGAGCTGACCCGGATTCATAAAAAAGGTCATTTTCATACTCATAGAGGGCGTCAAGAAGTGGCGGTTTAGGTCAGGTGACCGGCGAAAGGAGGTGACTGTTAGTACAGTTTCGACTGTACTACTTCAAGACAGTGATATCAGAAAATAACAATGATTTATAAATGCTGCAAAAAATAATTTGCCATCCAAAAATTAGATATCCGAAATCATTCCACTTGAAAACATTAAACCTTTGATTGGTCGTCATCGCGGGACTTCGGCTTCGATGGTGATGTGAGTCGAGTTGAACCATACACTCTAATCTTTTCGTCATCATCTGAAAGTATATTTTCTTCTATAATAATAGAATCGCTCGTTGTTATCTGATCCATTTTGATATTTTCATTTTTCCATAAATTTATGTCGCTTATGTCAATCAATATATTAAAACAAAGGGAGATAATTAGGCCTTCAAAGTTGTTTTGATTCTGTGGCAGTAATCATTTCTCAAACATGCCGACATTCAACGTTTTTGTATCAATTTCACGCGATGAAATACCTGCAGACTTTGTTCTCGAGGCTTCAAAATTTATCGCAGGATTACTAGGAAAACCAGAACAAGTAAGATTATTTGTTTTCGCGATATTTGTAAGGTCAGGGTCAGACTATTGTATTGATTTTCCCCCCATTATTTTTTTTCATGTTAAAAATGTGACTCTTTTGAGGAAATAAACTCCCTGACACATGATAATGACCTTGTTATGTATGCAAGCATTCGGCTCATTTGAGTTGTTAATTATCATGATAATGATAAAATTATGATTAAATGACTTCCTGTTAGATACATGTATACCAAGATCAAAATTACTATCCGGCACCTGTTAACTAGCTGTGTATGATATACATAAGGTATATTACTGGCTGAAGTGTATTTCCCCACATATTCAACATAATTTTCCCGCATTTTTTTAAATGAGTCATATTTTCATATCTACATGTATCCTTGCAAACATAGCACAATAGATATTAAAGTCATCTACATGTACATGTATACCGGTACCTTCTTCCTTGTACAATAAACAAAATATCAAACTTGAAAAATTACCATCACATTGGTATGTTTTTTCCACTGTAACTTCCAAATTCACAAGTACAGGAACACTATGCCAAGTGTTTTGACATTCATTAGGTCATGTCAAAGGTATTCAAATTTATTTTCTTATCAGGTGTCCGCTTAATGGCTTAGTAGTAAGATTTGGTTGGGGACCATCATAGTTACCAGACTAACTGGCCAATGAGAAATGACTGAATTTCAGATGAAAAAAATCTTTAGCCTTGATGCACGCAATCATCTAATGTCATATAACTGATATAACCTGTCAAAAATTTGAAATCTATAATACTGAAAACTTCCACTTTTAGAGAGAAAAATGAAATTACTTCATAATTCAACAGCAGCTTGGTACATTTATAAATTTATATAACTTATAAGCATCATGATTATCCAATAAAAAGGGACATTACAAACTTGCAGTATTATAAATTCACAATTCTCATTATATTTGTACAATATTTCAGTATGAACTTATTATGTCCCCCTTTGAAGAATGGGGGTATATTGTTTTGCTAATGTCAGTATAAACTGTCCGTCGGTAGTCCAGATGTTTTCCGCTGATTATCTTGAAAATTATTTATCACAATGTCTTCATACATTTGTATTTCACATAGTGATTGGTCATAACTAGTAGATGACCCTTATTGATTTTGGGGTCACTAGGTCAAGGTCACAGGGGCCTTAAATGTCAAAATGGTTTCCGCTGATTATCTTGAAAAGAATTCATCACAAAGTCGTTTTATTTCACATTGTGATTGGTCATAACTAGTGGATGACCTCTATTGATTTTGGGGTCACTAGGTCAAAGGTCAAGGTCACAAGGACCTTAAATGTCAAAATGGTTTCTGCTGATTATCTTGAAAAGTATTCATCACAAAGTCGTCATATTTCAAATGGTGATTGGTCATATATAGTAGATGATCCCTATCGATTTTGGGATCACTAGGTGAAAGGTCAAGGTCACAGGGGCATTAAATGTCTGAATGGTTTCCGCTGATTATCTTGAAAAGTTTTCATCTCAAAGTCGTCATATTTCACATGGTGATTGGTCATAACTAGTAGATGACCCTTATAGATTTTGGGGTCACTAGGTTAAAGGTCAAGGTCACAAGGGCCTTAAATGTCAGAATGGTTTCTGCTGATTTTCTTAAAAAGTATTCATCTCAAAGTCTTCATATTTCACATATTGATTGGTCAAAACTAGTAGATGACTCCTATTGATTTTGGCGTTTCTAGGTCAAAGGTCAAGGTCACAGGGGCCTTGAATGGTTATATGATTCTGCTTATTATCTTGCTTACTATTTATCACAAAGTCTTCATATTTCACATATTGATTGGTCATAACTAGTAGATGACCCCTATTGATTTTGGTGTCACTAGGTCTAAGGTCAAGGTCACAAGGGCCTTTAATATCAGACTAGTTTCTGCTGATTATCTTGAAAAGTATTCATCACGAAGTCTACATATTTCACATATTGATTGGTCATAAGTAGTAGATAACCCCTATTGATTTTGGGGTCACTTGGTCAAAAGTCAATGTCACAGAGGCCTTGAATGGTAATATGATTTTTGTTTATTATCTTGATTACTTTTTATCACAAACTCTTCATATTTCACATATTCATTGGTCGTAAATATTAGATGACCCCTATTGATTTTGGTGTTGCCAGCTCAAAGGTCAAGGTCACAGGGTCTTTGAATGGTAGTATGATTTCAGCTCATTATCTTGAAAGATAATTATCACAAAGTCTTCATATTTCATAGTCATTCATTTAATGGTCATAACTAGTAGATGATCTGTATTGCTTTTGGGGTCACTAGATCAAAGGTTAAGGTTACAGGGGCCTTAAATATCAGAATGGTTTCCGCTGATTATCTTGAAAACTATTTATCACAAAGTCTTCATATTTCACATACTGATAAAGTGATTGTGATAACTAGTGAGTGACCCCTATTGAATTTTGGGTCACTAGGTCTAAGGTCAAGGTCACAGGGTTCTTGAATGTTAATATGGTTTCCGCTCATTATCTTGAAAACTATTTATCACAAATTCTTCATATTTCTAATATTGATTGGTCATAACAATTAGATGACCCCTATTGATTTTGGGTCACTAGTCCAAAGGTCTAGGTCACATGGGCCTTAAATGTCTCATTATCTTAAAAACTATTTATCACAAAGTCTTCATTATTTTTCTTTTTATCATAATTGAACACTTCCATGTACCAATTTATGGCAAGTTTCTCTTACATAATTACCAATAATGTGAGTCAAGGGCTAGAAAGGGGGGCATATGTGTCGTTCAACATTTCTTGTTATATTTATGTAACATCTCAGTATAAAGTTTTTTGTGTTTGTACAAACTTTCAGTATGTAACAGTGCGTGTAGTTCCTGATCAGTTGATGTGTCATGGTGGAAGCAATGATCCATGTGGTAGTGTTCAGGTATTAGTGATAATGTTTTATAATACTGTAATGCCAACAAAAAACAACTCAATATAACTTCTGTTTGGTTAACACAGAATTTATTTTAGTTTGATTGTGTAGGAAGATATAAGCTTATAGACACACCTTGAACCAACCAGTACTGAGCAATGAGTGTAAAGTTTCTTGCTCAAGGAAACAACAACTTGCCCCTGACAGTTTCAACCCATGCGGCTAGTGATCATTAGATTACTAGTCCAACGTGTTAACCACTCGGCCATGCAGCCACATTAAAACTTTTATTTGATCACAAACTTAAAGGTTCAGAGAAGTTTATTATTATTTCTTAGTAATTGTTCAAAAATGCTGTAAGTGGTAGATCTAAATAATTCAGTCTTATATTTACAGCTTATGAGTATTGGAGCCCTTGGAGATAAGAATAAAAGCCATGCCAGCAAAATAGGAGACTTTCTGGAATCAAAATTAGGTATCAAAAAAGACAGGTACGGCATCAAAAGTTGAACATGATTTTAATGCAAAAATTAGTTGAAAGTTTTTCTCTAGTTGATCATTTAAACTATAAAGCAATACTTTATGCATGGTCCTTTGTCTATTCAATTACACATTCATATCTGGAAAAAAAGCACGGATGGACACCTCATATCTTCCTCCACCAGTAAAGCTGGATTGTCACCATTTGACCGAGTAAGCCATCAAAGGTTTTCCAATAGAATTAAGTCACAAATAGTTTTTATGTTTCCCCTAAAAAATTAAGTAGCATATAGTCAGCATTTTACCCTTTCATGGCTCCTTGGTTGGTTTTGTAATTCTTTTGCACTTTCTTTTCTTACAGTTTGTCTTATAAACTTGTCTCACACTGTCTTTTTTATCAACTTATGTCTTTCACATTTAAATCTTTTATACTTTGGGTAGAACTTTATGTTGAGATTGGGGTCACCTGGGGTCAAAGATGCCAGTGCTAAAAATAGGTCACTCATGCTAAAAATAGATTTGCCTTTTATGCAAACAGCTTTATTTATTGTCTTACAGATGTCTTTCATATTTGGTTTGAAAGTATTTTGCCTGGTCCTTAAAACCTCTGAGGAACATCCATCACCTTTAGCGATATCTCTTGTTTTAAAGGTTTAATATTAAAAAAATGAATGATTGTGTCATGTCAGAATACATTGCTTTAAATTTGTGATAATATATTTATAAACATATTTTTTGCAGATTCTACATCACGTTTTTTGACATCGCTCGAAATGACTGTGGGTACAACGGAACTACGTTTGCTTGAAAAACTTTCACACTGTTACATCTATGAGGGCTACAAAGTACTGTATAACATTTTTGGGACTTTTCTTACATAAACTTTAACTTTATTTAGTTAAATCATACTTTTGTTGCCATAGTGATGAAAGACAATATATGTGTATGGTCTTTATGACAGTATGTATGTGTTACCAAAATTGTGTCCAGTTAACAGCTTCGTCATTCCTTAATAAACAACAGGATGTTCCTTTGTAAGCAACAGGATGTTCCTTTGCAAACAACAGGATGTTCCTTTGTAAACAACAGGATGTTCCTTTGTAAACAACAGGATGTTCCTTTGTAAACAACAGGACCTGTAGGAATATTAACCATCACAAGACAATAAGCTGAGTGCGAAATGAAACAGGGACAATACAACAAAGGTGAAAGTCAAACATAAAAGTCAAAGTTCAAAATGATAAACATTGTCAAAGGTCAAAATTGTAAACATTTCATAATTGTGTCTTTACTTGGTAAATTTTGATAATACTTTGCCAACATGATAATCACCTTCTTGAGATGATTTGTTACACCTAAAGCAAAAACAAAACAGAAATGAAGTACATTTTTGTGGTATTTTATTCTTTAACTTTGTCATTGATGACTCCATTGGTTTTCACCATTACTGGGAAATATTTCAACTATATGCACGGGATATGTCTGAAACTAAAGTTCAGGTCTAACTTTAGGTCCTGGCTCAAAACTTAAAGGTCAAAAGCGTTACATCCCCTCGCTTTCTTTAAGTTTTGACACATATTATTATGGTTCAATGTTAAAAATCATTTCTTAAAGTTTTACAGTGTCTTGTCCATCCAATAACTTTGGTCAGTCCTTGATGGATTCGACATTGATAATGATCGTGACAGTATCTGTCTTTAGATCAAGTTAAAAATTACACCTGAAAGTTAAAGGAGTAACATAAGCACTTTTTTGGCAAGTATGCGAAGTTAGGAAATTATATACATGTAACATATTCTTTAACCAATAGATGAGATATATGATACACACAAGACCCATGTCTGTAGATTATGCATAGAAGTCAAAGGCCAAAAAAATAATGCCTGCATACTATAACTTTGTTGTATGATTAGTATTTTTGTCTTGTTTTTTTTAAATAATGGTTATTTCTTCCATGACAAAAAAACTCACTTAGAGGTCAAAAGTCAAAATAAAAGTTTGTTTTCTAAGCTATAATTACAAATTCCGGTATATTTTTACTTGGACTTAAGTTCTATTAAGTTACATTTGATGTGTAAAAATGAATGATATTATGATGCTTTTATTATCAAGATCTCATTTAGAGAGCAAAGGTCAAGAATTTGGGTTTTATTTTCTATTTTCTGCTCACATTTTGTCTATAACTTATGACTGATTTCTGTGTTGCTTTATTCCATAGATTTGGCACCTTTAACATATGTTCACAGTGGAATATATAGGTGTTTATCTTTTCTATCATCTGCTAAAGTTTTGTTAAATTTTATGGTATTAAAACATAAATAATTCTTTTGTGAAAATGTCTTATCTCCTAGTTAGGTGTATTTAATGTGCATTTTGTGTGTGAAGTTTTTGTTGTGCTTTTTTGTGTGAAAAGAATAAGTGAAGTAAAGGACTTAGTCTTGTGCCATAATGCTTTTACATTTATTGTACAATATTTAAATTGTGATGGATATTATGATTTATTTTCCCGTACTAATTTCCTATGAAAACAGTGCTGGCTGTTTTTATTTAGTTTTCCAATAAAAATAATGTTTGATAGTGTTATTTAATTTTTCATGAAAACAAAAATGTTTTAATTTATTTTTTTCCATGAAAAAAAAATTTGGATATTCTTACTTAATTTTTTCCTAAAAATGGATGGGTTTTTTTTAAATTTTATGAAAAACAAAGATTAATATTTTATTCTTTGGGTATGACAATATTACTGTAAATTTTTAAATTTCTTTTTTTTCCCCATTAAAACAAGGTTTTTAAAACTTCTATGAAAAAACATTCTAGGAAAGGCAGATTTAATTGCTTATTAAAAGAGTAAATTTTTGAAATACATGATTTTCCCCATGATACTTAAAAATTTCTATATTTTGATTTGTTTTTTAAAGAATTTTTACTTGACCTCGTTATAAAAAATCAAGAGCTTTGGTTAAAAGGTAATCATAATGGTTTTTTTGTGATATTTTAACTGACTTGGTTGGTACCCTTTTAAAAACATTTTCTCTGCCCCCAAAAGAATTTGTTATGTCAATTTTTTGGTTTTTCATTGATAAATTCATGCCCCAGATTGAAAGTGTCTCACAATAGCACATAATGTGATCAATTGGTGAATTCCCTACAATCATTTAAATTTCCCTTCAACCAGTACTTTAAAAGCCCCAATCATGCTTCCATAACAAAATGACCCCATAGCAACCACTGACTTTCCAAAAAAACAGTGACACCTTTGCAATTTACCTTAGCAATGTTACCTTTCCTAAGCAACCAATGACTTTCCGTGAACTTTGTGATATCAGTTAAAATTTAGATCTTATATCTGCTTTTTATGCCCCCGCCATATAATGGCCGGGGCATATAGTGTTACCCTGTTCCATCATTCCGTTCTTCTGTCATCATCAGTTTCTGTTCATTATCTTAGTAACGGTTGCACACATTCAACTCAAATTTGACATATGGATATGTCATGAGAAAATACAGGTCAAGTTCGAATTTGGTCATGGTTCTATGATTTTTGGTAGAGTTATGCCCCTTTTACTTTGAAAATAATATGAAATTTTCATTTTCCGTTCATTATCTCCCCAATAGTGTTACGTATTCATCTCGAATTTGACATATGGATATGCCAATGGAATGGGCAGGTCAAGTTGGAATTTGGTCATGGTTCAATGTTTTTTTGTTTTTTTTGAGTTATGCCCCTTTCACTTTGAAAATAATATAAGATTTTCAGTTTCTGTTCATTATCTCCCCAATAGTGTTACGTATTCATCTCGAATTTGACATATGGATATGCCAATGGAATGGCAGATCAAGTTGGAATTTGGTCATGGTTCGATGATTTTTGGCAATATTATGTTGAATAGTTGAACAGTTTTAAATGAAAAAAATAATTTTTGCAAACAAATTTGGAATTAATATTATAACATCTGAAATTTTGGCTGCATGCGGAGGCATCCGTGGCATGATGACACACTTCAAGTTATTAAGGTATTAGCACCCTAATGCATTACCTCGGCTTTGAAGAGTATTCAAATAGGCTAGAATTACTGTTAACTACATTGAAAATGAGGGCCATGGGTTCAAATCCCCAGAAGGGTCAACTTTTTTTCTTTCTTTTTTTTCTTTTAACATTATTTATGTATCTCTCATGTCCCATATGGAAGGAAAAAAGTGTTTAATTTTTTAATTTATATAGTATTTTATTGGCTAAATTATGCTAAATCTAGAAATAAAATATGGTACCTGATATTTTCAAAGTGTAATAATTATAATCAAAACTAGACGGTAAAAGTATTTCATATTTTTACAAGATCAACCAATATACTTTTTTTAAAATTTAGGGAAACTTTGAAAAAAACAGGCACTCATTTGGGTAAATTTTTAAGAATTTTTTGAATTAGGCTCCCTAAGTAGTAAAAATGGTCAGACATGATGTAAAAATGGGTGTGGTAGGGTAACATTTTTATACAGATTTCATAAATTTTAAGAAGAAATCAATTTTTGCTAAGTGGAAATGTTAGCTGAATCGGTACTATTTTGTTTCTTACCAAAAATTCATGGGAAAACATTTTTCATTAGAATGTTATTTCAGTATTATTTTAAAGGTTCCCTCATTTCGAAAAACGGGCCCTCATAACATCCTAGCTTGAGTTCAGAAAAGCTGGCCATAACTTGATTTCCGTACGGTAAACTTTGTTTAAATTTTGCATACAGGTGTACTTTAAGGTATACATCTGACCTATGATGTCAATTCTTTAGTTCCTGATAGTGCCCATTAGGGTCCTAATACCTTAAATAGTTTACAACTTGTTCCTTGTCATTAAGAGCATTTATAATCAGGTGAGCAATATAAGGGCCATCATACCCCTCTTAATTTAATTGTCGTCTGCAAGATATAATTTCATCAGCTTTTTCTGAGTAAAATCTTAAGTTATTTTCCTGTGTTAATCTCTTCAATTGTAAAATATTGAGACCCGTAGGTATTTTGGATTTTAAAATCTTAATCCACACTTCTTCTTTTGGTGTTGACTGTCAGCCAGTGTCATACCAGTTGCGACCTGTATGCCATTTATAAAGAGCTTTACCACTATGAGTGCTCGGAGAGGGCACAACAATCCCCAATCTGACTATATCATAGTTTCAGAAAATCGTGTGTTTGACCCTTCTTCACTCCAATTACATTGTCCTCGTTATTTCCCTCACCCCCGGGGTTGCCTGAAGGTGGGGACGGTGTTTACAACGGTCTGGTGCATAACTCTTTCAAATTCCATGTGTGATAGCTATAATACAGAGAAAAATGTGAGTAAAATGTTATCGAAGTTCGGATCACTCAATTTGTATCAAGAGGGCTGTGTGGACATTTGCCCTACAAATTATGCGCCAGGGCTTTTATTATTTAACGACAGTCGCCTCCTTCGACACCTATGTAAAATATGTCGGTCTTGGAGTCGAAATATAGACGAGACTAGTGTCACGGTAGAGAATCACGTGACTTTTACGGTTACGCGTACAGACAATATGGCGGCCTAAAAACCTCGCTTCACATGTGTTTTTCAGGTAATTCTTTATTATATCCCTTTTACTTACATACGAGACCTGTTGCAGCCTACGCGGAATATAAGAATTATTGCCGCTATACCTTAGTTTTTCCACCCCTGTGCTCATAGCTTTTTACAAACACTTCAGAAATTCAACAGAAATTTTTCAAGAGTGAACAATTATATTTCGGGTAACATTCACGCAAAATTTGTAATATTTTTATGGAATTTGATTAAACTACGTCGTAGTTTAGCAAAGGATGAAATGTTCTATTAGAATTTCTTTTATTTGAAAATGTAATATTAGGTGCATGTTAAATGTTGACTAGTCATTTTTCTATTCCATTATCACGAGAGAAAAATGATTTGGGTAACTCCCACGCATACTTTTATTGTTGATAACTCCCCACTGCAATATTTTATTGTGCAGGCAATGATCTATGTCTGGTTATAGCCTAGAATATTGATTTGAAAAAAATCATGATTGATGCATTTAGCATCAAATTTTCAT